AATGTTCCCCACTCAAACAAAGGCAGCAGTAAAACTTGCCTGTTGTTAGTCTTTCCAAGAAAAGTCCCTGGCACAGAAACTGTACTTTTTCATTCTTTCAAACTGTGCCCAACCCATTTATCTTTCATGCCTGGTGTTACATTTCCCCCTCATGCTTCATCTCCATCCAAACCAGCTCACCCAACTCGTTTGCCAATTCACACTCATTCCTCTCTCCTGTGAGCCCAGCACGTCTGCGGCCTGTACCACACAAGCACTCACCAGGTGTGCCCTTGGCTTGTTATTTACCTGACGGTTGCATTTTATCCTCCTTATTAATAACTATTTACTGAGAGCCTACAATATGTAGCTACTGCTCAACAAGTAGGGTGAACAGAGAATTTGTCATTCAAACCAGGACACTTTCAAGGGGAGGAGGAGGTACTATTAATAATACACTGGAATGGCAGGTGTAAACCAGGCATGCCTGACAAATGAGCATAAGGTCACCCTCTCAATAAGTGATGGTGTGGCCCAGCTGGCATGGCTCGGTGGTTGAGTGTCGATCTATGAACCAGGAGGTCACGGTTCAATTCCTGGTCAGGGCACATGTGCAGGAGGCAGTCGATCAATGATTCTCTCTCATCATTGATGTTTCTATCTTTCCTTACCTGTCCCTTCCTCTCTGAAATCAATAAAAGTATTTTTTTTAATAAGTGATGGTATGGCAGACATTGTAGGCTGGCTCACTCAACGCGTTTGCTAACTCTCTTCTTCCTTCCTTGCCGTCTCCTGTTATAAAGGCTGGAAATCCCGACTCCTCTTTCTCCCTCACAGCTAGAGCTGGCCAGGAGGCACCGTTCTGGACAATGAGACCTCGGGAGGGGTTCCTAACTAACTTGTGATCCTGATAAAATGGGATATTTAAAACGAGCATAGCCCTTTCCCTTTCTTCTTCTGTGGAACGCCGCCTAAAGACCAGAACGTGAGAAATATGATAGCAAAAGGAAGGATGACAGAGTAAAAAGCAGAATAACCCAGGTCTTCAGAGCGGTTAAAACAAAGTTATCAGTCGCCTATTACAGGGATTTCCAGCCCCTTTCACCTCATGGCACACATAAACTGATCACTACAATTCTGTGGCATACCACAAAATATATTTTTGCTGATCTGACAAAAAAAATAGGTATAATTTTGATTCATTCACACCGGACAGCTACTGTTGTGTTGGCTGCTGTCATTATTGTATTTGACAATAAGGGAAAAGAGGTCCGTGACCCTGACTAAACAGGCAGGTATTGCATGTTTTAAACATTCTTGTGGCACACCGGTTGAAAATCACTGGCCTATTACTATGTATGATCTGTGTTCCCCAAAATTCATATGTTGAGGACTTGAACCCCCAAAGTGGAATTTGAAGATGGGGCCTTTGGGGTTAATTAGGTTTAGATTAGCTTAGATGGGGCACTCATGATGGGATTAGTGCCCTTATAAGAAGAAACCAGAGAGCTAGGGTGCTTCCCCCTCTCTTCTCTCCTCTCTGTCTCTCTACCATATGAGGACAAGGCAAAAAGGTGGCCATCAGCAAGCCAGAAAGAGAGCTGTCATCAGAACCAACCATGCAGGCACCCTGATCTCAGATGTCCAGCCTCCGGAACTGTGAGAGAATAAATTTCTGTTGTTTCCACCTCCTGGTCTCTGGTATTTTGTGATGGCAGAGTGAACTGACTAATACACCTGTCTAGACTTCTTCCTCTCCAAGAAAATGCCCTTCTTTTAGCTGAGTAGAAAGGTTCTTTGATTACTTGCAGCCAAAAGCATTCTTAACTAAGAATAGCTATCCTTATTTTGTTCCAATTACTTTAGACAGGTTTTCTTTAATCCTTACAACACCCCTGAAAGGTGCCTGCGATGAAGAAACTGAACTTCAGAAAGGGCGTGGTAACTGGTCCAATGTCGTACAGTAGGGCATAGCTTGTTGATGGCCAGTCTAGCTCGTCTGACCTCAGAGCCTGCGCTTCCCACACACACAGGCAGCTGCTTCGATGCCCGCCCGCCCCGTCAGCCAGAGCTGTGCCTGCCACAGGCAATCCCACTGGACGATGCTGCTAGAAAAGAGGACGGAAAAGACCTCATTTCCCCCTACTTTCTGCCTCACTCCCACCCTAAGCGATGCGAGGGTGCCACCCCCTGACCGAAGTGGAGGCTCCATAAAATGAAGGCTTAAACCAAGAAAGGAAAAGCAGAGAACAGGCCGAGCAGGGACTCAGTGCAGAAGGGAAGGGAAGGGAAGTCTCAGAAAGCCATGCCAGGGCTGGAACAGAACTGACCAGCCCGGGGAACTGAAGCTCCACTCTGGAGGGCCCTTGTCTTCCTCACCATCCTAACTCAACACTCAGCCCCCAACTCTGTTTCCTTTTTCCTGTCTAAAATCCAAACCACCCAAACAACAGCTGCTAGTCTGCAAGAACAGTTCCTCCCTCTTCCAAGAGCCACGCTTGACCAACTGTTGCTGAAACTCGCTGAATGTTGGCTGCTCTGGCTAAAATGAGATGCTCCTGGTAGCTCTCCTATGCCTGGCGTCTTCAAATAAAGGGTTGTGCTAATGGTGCTCTGCCTGGTTTCTTCCCACAGACCATGTTGCAAAACTAAAGGGAGAAAAGTTGGAAGGAGTGGAATAAGAGAGCTATGTCCTTCCCTATAATAAGGGAAAGTCGATAGCTTCTGTCTAAAATCGAATCAGGGACCAGCCATCTAAGCAAATTATTTGGAAATAGGGGGGTAAGTTATCCAGCAGGTAAGAACAGAGAGTAATTGTATCCAAGGAGGGAACTGTTAGGAACTGTTTTTGTTAGGATCTTTTAATGTGCTCTACTTCATAAAATTAGATGAATGCATTATTTCAACAACTAAGCAACTTTTTAAAAGTAAAAAATTTCCATTTAAAGCAAAAAAAATGCAATTACATAATCAAGTGTGTCTATAAATTATCCCAACTAAATGGTCCCGACAAAGAGAGACGTAGAAAGCTTTCTTGGTGGCATAAGGCTTGGAAAGAGGGAGGTCTAGGGAGCAGCTGGTTTGGCAAAGACGGGGAAGCTGTCCGACCCACTCCACTGCCATGGGAGCAGTGAGCCAATGCATTTCCATCTGCCACTCAAGTCCCCGGGCACGCCCGGCGTCAGAGGACGTGGCTAAGTGGGGGATGGAGGCTTTCTGGAAAAGTGTCTATTTCTGTGTTCTTCAAGGAAGATTAAGAGCAGAGTTCTCTTTAGCTTTCTGTTCTCCAACTTGGGTTTCTTTCTTTTTCTTTCTTCTTCTCTTCCTTTTCTCTTTCCTTCTTTCTCTTTTCTGTGCAACTCTCTTTACATGGGACTTTTTCTGTTTCACTCCCTTTCCCTTAATCTGTGAGTTTCCTCTCACTCAGGATGCTTTTCCCCTTTGGCTTTATTTTTCTCTGTGATCATAAATTCTTCCTGCCATCCCCACCCTGTCTCTCTTCCCGTCTCCATGCTCTCTAAGTCTTGGCTGACGTGCATGTATTTTTGCCTTTTAATTTTCCAAGTGGTTAGCCAAAATGACTTGAGTCTTTTGACCGAAACTCATCCATCTGTAAAATTGGTTAATATTCCTTGGGATGCTTAAAATAATGGCTGAGCTATCTTTGAAGTTCTTGAGAGAAAATAATTTAAGAGCTGTGGCCTGCTTAATTCAAATTCTAGACTATTGTCTTCATAAGTAATTTGAATATTTCCTCCTCTTAATATTTATAACTTCAGTTCTAGAGAACTTTTGCTAGAAGGACAATAAGAAATGACAACAGTAGAATGAGAGTAATTTTTTAAATTGATTTTGGAGAGGAAGGGAGAGGGAGAGACAGAAACATCAATGATGAGAGAGAATCATTGATTGGCTGCCTCCTGCACATCGCTACTGGGGATCGAGCCCACAATGAGAGTAATTTTATGAAGTTTGTCCTTTCAACAACTGAAGGAAAATCAGCCAATGACTTAAGGCTCCTGACTCCCTGGAGAAATATTATAATGAGATTCAAAGAATAAAGTTGGATTTCACAATATTTTAATTCTTGAGTTTCTCAAAATGGAACTATGTATTTGGCTGAAAATCTTAACCTACTAAGACAAAAGCTTTTCTTCTTTTAAAACTGTAAGTCTAGGGGTATTCAAATTTTCCAATCATATGTTACCAATGTATAAAATTGATTTATAGGATTCATTGCTCAGGAATTACGGCTGTGTAAAGAATGATGGTTCTTTAATGGCACAACTTTGCTAATTAAAGTATTTGAATGGTAGCTATACTTCCCCCCCCCCTTACCCCCCAGTAAATCCATTTTAACTGAAAATCTAAGGTTAAACCAAGAGCACCGAGGGCTCTAAGGCCTATCTGGGAAAGTTAGATTTTACACAAACCTGCCTTTATTTTAAATGTAGGTTAGTTATTAGGAAAAAAGCACATACCGCGAACTAAATATGCAATCCACATTTCTTCCGAACACAGAGGGAGGCCTCTCTGAAGGTTTTTCCAGGCTTACCACCGAACAGCGGTCAAGCCAAAAATAAGCCCACGAGGGCTTTACTGGGCAAATTCAACAGCACAGGAAACACTAGTCCATAGAGAGTTGGATGTAGCTTTTCCCCAGGAGCCTCTCTCGGGGACCCCCCACCCACATGCCCCATCTCCTAATTAGAAGGCTAATTAGGATTCCCAGCTGAATGCTAAATGGGAGGGAGATGTGAGGGCAGGCCAGGATTCCTTTCCCATCAAGCACTGCCTTCTCCCTCCTGGGCTGCAGTGAGGTTAGTGCAGGGAGTGGGCAGAGAGCTGGCCCAGGACTGGCTGGCTGGGGGGGCCGTGTTTATTTTCAGTTGTCTGAGAGGGAAGATCTGTCTTACACATTGCAAACTCTGAAAAAATAAAATTTAGAACAACAACACGCCGTGGGCTTTTAGCACTTTAAGGAAAAGAAGCAAGTATCTTGTAAGCTCAGTTATTGTTACCATGGTAACTTAAGGGGGCAAGAGGAGATCTCTTCAAGAACAGTTCCGGAATCCAGCCATGCGGCGGCGTCTCCACCGTGCAGGGCGACTTCTTCAGTTACCATGGCAACCTAAAAATCAGAAGTGCTTTTGCAACACTAACAGAAACCATCTTTTGAAGCGCTTCTGTGGATCACATTGAATACTGATGATGCAAGCTTGAGGGATACATATTTTTTTTAGCAAAAAAACAAAACAAAACCCAGAAAACACCATATCGCCATAAACACACGCTCGTTTCAGATGCCCCTTTGAAATCTTGGCTTGGCTGCGGATAGGTTTTTCGGTCTGGTTTTGTTTGTTTCCCTTTTGGAGTCCCGCGGCCTCGAGTGCAAACGCGATTTGTTTAATTTCCAAACTTGTCTGAGCTGCACGGGGAAGAGCCGAGAACGTGGTTCCTTCGCTCCGGCTTTGACGCGGCCCGAGGAAGAGGGCTGGGCTGGGCGAGGCGAACAGAGTCCTCTTGTCTCCTGAACTCGGGAGGACGACGTGGGGCGCGGAGCTGGAGCCGGAGGGAGGGGGGCTGGGAGG